TCAAAGCAGTAAATCAAATTAAGTGACAGAACAAGCAATAAAATGTTAACTAAAAATATTTGCACTCTGTTTTTATTTCTTCTTTTTGTGTGCCAAACGATGTTATCTAACGCTCAATGTCAATATCATGTTAATGTCATCATATTCACCCTGTGTCGAGTTGTAAAACCAAAGTCAATAAAACCAAGTTTATGTTTGAAAAGTGATGACTTGATTTTTACAAAATCATATTTAAAGTATTTGGATAGTTCAATTCTCCTCCTCTTTTCTCCCTTATGCTGCTAGTTCTAATCCTAGCCAGACTCATTCTTTGATTGACTAACTGATTCACTGATAAAATGATTGCCAAATTTTCCAGCTGTTCATTTGCCTCATTGCTTACTTAAATGTCAATTAAATGATCTTGTGTTGCAATTGATGGTTTTTCTAAACCATCTTAGATTGCCTCCTTCCTAGTGCAAAACGATGCAATACCACTAGTTTTTAATGCTTACCAGTCTAATACTCGTCAATGGCCGGCCCCTCTTTCCCATGATATCTGGTTGCCATTTGCAACACATTCTCTTCTTTCTATCAATTTCTAGCTTGCCGTAAGAGAACGAAAATTGTGGTATTATGAGGTTTAGTTGCAACTTCTCGCAAAATTGTAGTGAAATAAAAGAGGAAACTTAAGGAGCAAATCGCAAATAAGCTTGCCAACATGTCCGTTTTATCCACCTTCCCATTACATCCTACATCTCTACAGTCCACTTCTTCATCTCCACTTCGCCATCCTACTCTCACTTCTTTGTACCTCCTCTCCTCATCTGCGTCTAGCATCACCTTCACCACTCACAACGCTTCTCCTCCTCCTGACAAACCTTCACTGTTGTCTCACGATACAGATGGCATGACATAATCCAGTTAAGCTGATTCAGCTGCAGCCATTGCACTCTCTTCATTACTGCAAACCTTATGATATGGATCCCACATATTCAGTGCATCCATGTTTTATATCCTCTCACATCGCGTTACAGAATTCACAAATAAAGGAGTTGATTTTTGCAGCATTTGGCTGTAGCCTCTAGGCAATAATATGCCATCGGTTGCCAGGGGGTCGTTGCGGAACAGGCTAATCTGAATGCATTTCTTGTCATAGCTAGATAGCGGACCTGTTCTTGCAAGTTTAAAGATCATGGAAACTAGGAGAAACGCACTGAGGAGCCGCCGTTTTATATAAACCATCAGCAAATGACCACTGTTATTTGGATTTTTTGATTACGTGACGCACTGCTCAGGATGAACCACTATGTTGCTTTCATATTATTTCAGATAACTATAGAATACTAGTCCATTTAGCCCTACCCATACATTATTTGGCACATTTTCACAATTATACAGATGCCATTAACTTTCCCCATCCGTTCGGAGACGCTAACAAGCATCACT